ATGAACTTGATTTTTTACAAACAGAAATATAATTATTTATGTTACTTACATATTGTACCTAAAGGATTTTAACGATATTATTAGAGTAATGTAAATTAAACAGTTTTTAGAAAACAAATTCATTACGAATAAAATTAACATTTAGAAATAATTAATAAGCATAACAAATATTTTAAATCTAAATAAAATTATTATTTTTGACTAACAATAGTTATAGGTACATAATATTTTTATTCCTATTAATACTGTTACTTCAAATTATATCCATAATTTTTTTTTTTTTTTTTTACTTAAAATACTATTTATGATGATATATATTAATAAAGTATTAATGAGTAAAGAATCGATATTTATATTATAATATCTTCTTTACATTTATTTAGTCGTGTATTTGTTTAAACTTGTTATTCATGCTTGGAAAGTAACAAATTTATTTTTTCATAATAATAAACAATTAATTTTAAATATGTAATCCTAATTAATTGCTTTAACATGACAGTAGCAATAATGGCGATGACACCCAATGTAAAAAATAGTTATTTGATATTAAATATTTTTAATTATTACGTACAACTCATTGCATACCATACCTTAATGATATTGATTTTATTCATTAATAATTGTTTGCTCTTTGTATAAAATCTATTTTAGTTTCAACATTTTTAATTGTTCATTGTAATGAATACTTAAGCGTCATTGATTAATTAAAAAATTTAAATATATAATACAAAATAAAAATGCAATTTGTAAAAATATATGTATGTCTGAACATCTATTATGTTTCCCAATTTAAACAATTAAATGGTTATATGTAAACATTTGTATTTAAATTAATTGTACTATGTCACAATTTGCTATGACGTGTTTTTAATAATATTTAGTTGCAATTCAAATAGGTAGTTTATAATAGAAACAATTATACAACACATATAATTCATAAAATATCAAATACCAAATTTAAAAATCAACATCTATTATGTTAAGGTTAATGTTTACTTTTTTTTATATTGTGATATTTAAAACTCATACAGATAGGTATGTTAAAAAATAAAAATAAAATATAATTACCAAATTATAGGAATAAACTTCTCATTAATGTCACACTCATCTGTTTTGAAATTTATAAGTCAATTAAATCAATATCACTATAATTTTCTATATAAAAATGTATGTATTGTATTAAACATTTAGATTAAAATGTTCATTTAAAATTAAACAGCTTATGAGTTGGATATTTAAAACTGTAATTTACAACAATATATATTTAGTTCTGTGTTTAAAATCATCTTATTGGTGTGCGTTATCTCTCTCTTACAAACGTTTAATACGATGAATTTTCGTTTATCAAAATCTTGCGTTGAAAGCTTTATATTATGTTATCCTATTATTAAACATCATATATTTTAATAGTGAAATCTGTATTTGTACATTGGTTTTTTACAATATTTTAATTTTCAAGCAAGTTATTAACATTTTTGAATAGTTATTTTTCATAAACATAACTAGCGTAAAGAGCGCATTGAAGAAATTGCAATAGAATATATCAGCAGAAATATACATTTAACAGCGTACCTAGCACGTTTATTATATTTGTCACAGTCGAGAAGGTTGTGAAAAGATAGGTACGTTTATAGAACTGAACACCACTTTTCAAAAATAATTAAAATATTATTAATAATACAATTAAATTAAGCTTGAATAAACAAAATTATTGTTTAATATTTAAGGTTCTAGTTAAGAACGATTTATGATCGCCATGATATTATTGACTATATGGCAACAACAGACACATGTAGACATTGATAAGTAATTACCAGTCTAGAAGTGTGAATAAAATCTTCGAAATACGACTATAGGAGCGTTCCATATTTTCTATACAAGTCCTAAAATTATGTGCATACATAGTAACGTAATGTGAATTTGAACTATTTTATGTAGACATATTTTATTCAAAAATTAAATTAATTGTGGTAAGTAGGTATAATAATATTATATTACTGTCGACAGAAACATTTTGTTTCTGTTATAATTTCTACACAACTAATATTTGAAACTACGTATTCATATTGCACGTACACCATCATAATATAATATTTATAACTGCTTTAAGTTATAGCACTATATTAAACTTGCTAAATTAGCTTAAAAATTAAAATATCGTAAGACACTAACATACAGACATATACAATGTTCTTGTAAATATCTTATTAATCTAACCACACACAATAAATTAATTTTACCGAATAAAAATCGATATGGTCATCAAATCGAAATCATTGTCGAGTTTTACGAAAAAATCTAAATACATTTTATTGGTATTATACAAAAACACAGGTAAATATAATTTATTTTTTAATTATATTCTGAATCTCCAAACCTTATTTTAATTGAACATAATAATAATATCATAAAATACTTTCTAATTTCTAATTTATATTAAATAATAAAAAATAATTTTAACCTTATATTTATTGTAAACGAATAAATAAAATACGACCAAAATTATTCATAATTTATTCACAATAAATGATTGATTTTTTTTATAAGAAAATTTGATTAAATAGTCATTTTTACAACAAGTTAATGATTATACATATAATATGTTTCTTTGATTGTTCGATATTCAATTTAATTCACGCATAAATGTCTTATTTTTAACAATAGGAAAATTGTTTTAATATTTAATTGTACTTAAATAACACTTAAACAATTTTATTTTTATTAGTTATTAATTATACGATCGAGTAAAATATTCCTAAGAAAAAATATAGTTATAATGTATATTACGAAGTAGGTAAATTAAAATTCTTACTGTATTGTCGCGCCATTTATAATAGTTTACTAATTATGCTAATTGTGATATAGTGTTAAAAATAAATAAAAGTATTAAAACAACTATAAAATAAAAAACAAATTGTAACCCGATACCAGTAATCGCCCAACAACAACTAAGCGAAGGTTTTAATATATGAACAGTTGTGTTCAGTTAGTGACAACGTGCAACATGAATAGTTCAACTCTCCAGGTACTTGATTTTTTAATATACTCGTCGATTATTCTTTGATGATATTGTTTTATATTTAATATAATATATTAAACAAAAATACAATTTTATGTTAAGTGCTCCATTTAAGTGTTTATAGCTATTCGTTATTATAATGCATAGTTTTATGATATTCTTGTATTACACTTGTCAGTGGTATCTTCCAATGTTGAAATAATATATATTTATTCAATAGAGAGATCTCGAGTGTATACAATTTTTATACTAAAACTAATTTTATATTTTGAGTTTTAAATACATATAACTAATTATGTACTAGTTCAAAATTCGATTTTTATACATAAATATATTCTAAAAAACATCCTGTCTTGAAACAATAAATTTAAAATGTGTGTTTTCATTTAAAAATATAAATAATATTTTTTCAGAAATTTTGTTTTCTGTGACATTGCATTTTGTAAACAAAATATTTTTGATAAAGTTAAAACTTTTTCTAATTATGAACACTTCAAATGATCATACTTTTAATTTACTGAAGATCTTTCATATGTTTATTAAGTATCAATTACATTTTTTTATGCATAATAATTATTAATAGTCATTGTTATTATATTTTATGTTAAATGGTTAAGTATTTATAAGAAAAAAAAAATATGTTGATTTTACTTTATTTCAATAAATTTAAATGTGATATATTAAGTTAAATTCATATAAAACTATGTTACTTATAATACATTCTGTATAATTAACTCAAAATTTAACGCTTAAAAAACAATATGTTTTTTTAGATATTTTTTTTAAAAAAATCTAGGTACCTATAAATTATTATAATTATTATAATTATTATATTTAATAGATATTATAATACGATTACAACATTTATCAAATTATAAATACTTGAATGTTCTAAATTGTCGTTGTTAAAATATTTAAGCATACATAATACTATTATCAAAGGTGGGCATTAACTAGTTAAAAAGTTAAAGTTTAAGTTAATTTTTTTTTAACTTTATAATTTAAATAGTTAATTTATTTTCTAATCAACTTACGGACTTAAGGAGTTTAATTAACAATTGAAATAACTTAGCTTTTTACAGTTGGTATTAGAAATTTTTTTAATAAAATTATAAATTATATTGTTTTAATGTTTTTTGACCTTCAATTGCTATATTATATGAAAAAATAATATTTGTTAAAATATTAATTTGAAATTTTTTAAGTTTAAATTAATAAATAATATATTATATAACGTAAAAAAGTATTTACACTTTACAATGTACATTATGATAAAAGTTAAATAAAATTATTTTTTAGTATTTAGTAGATTAGAAAGACATAGGTAGTCACTCTTTATGTAATTTAAATACGACTTCAAAAAAATAGATTAACTTTTTTTAAATTGAGTTAAGTTAGTATTGTTTTTCTATATTAAATATTAACTTATTGAGTTAAATTTATAATTTGTTAACGGTTAACTTTTAATTTATCGATCTAGTGCTCTTTTAACTTAACTTGTTAAATATTTTCATTAATTTGCCCACCTTTGAATATATATTATACGAGTATACATATAAATAATTTGGCCTAATAAGAAGAGAGTTACTTAATTAAAATTAAATTAATTAACTAAAGGTTATTGAATGTACGAGTTATTATAATTATAAAAGTTATATTGATTTGATTGTTAGTTAGGTAACATCACGAAGGTCGAAAATGGTTAATTAGTATTAAAAACATATGTTTAAATATTCTTTTGATGCAGAATAAATAATTGTAAATGTTTTATTTCATTAATCCAACAATTTACTATAAAAATATTCCTTTATGTCTTTAAGAAAAAAACACGATTCAATTTAGCTTGTTGCCAACAATTAGTGATTTAAAATGTTCAAGTTTACCTAACGCACGCATATACATATTGTAATATGTACATTAATATGGGTGGTTACTCGCAATAATTGTACCATGCTTATAAACTCATTATGTGTACTTCCAGGGTGAAATTTTATTTTGAATGACATACAGACCAATTAGTGTACGTACAAATCCACAAAACTACAGAAATGGAGGTATCAACATTTTTAATATTCACCATATGGTTCGTTTCTATTCAGCATTGTCTGACAATAAATTTAAACGCACTATCATATCTTGGTGAACGTTATCGTACAAATCTTATACAATTTCGAGAAGACCCGTTGTTTGGTAATAAACCAATACTTGATGAATATGACTTTATTGTGGTTGGAGCAGGAGCGTCAGGTGCTACGGTCGCCAGGAGACTAGCAGAAGTACCGGAATGGAAAATATTACTACTCGAAGCAGGCAAACAAGAATCATTGGCCACTTCAGTTCCAGCTATAGCCCACTACTTTCAATTTACAGATTTCAACTGGGCTTTCAAAACCGAAGAGGAACCGAACGCCTGCCTAGGCACCGTAAATAAAAGATGTTTATGGCCACAAGGTAAAGGCCTCGGTGGAAGTACAATCATTAACAATAATATATACACTCGAGGCAATGTAAGAGATTTCGACCGTTGGGCCGAAGCAGGCAATCCCGGTTGGTCCTACAAAGATGTTTTACCATATTTTTTAAAAAATGAAGACGTGACTATTCCAGAATTAAAACGTTCTCCATACCACGGTATTGGTGGACCAATGCCAATAAGTTATTCTCCTTTCAAATCAAAACTAGTAGAAGCGTTTCTTGAATCCGCTCCACAAGTTGGTTTAAATGTGGTGGACTACAACGACCCGAATAGCCACGTTGGCTTTTCAAGAATCCAAGGTACGATAAACTATGGTAGACGGGTAACATCGGCCAAAGCATATCTACGAGCGAACTTAACAAACTTGCATATTGTCGAAGGAGCTTTCGTCACAAAAATACTGATCGACCCAAATACTAAAGTCACGTTGGGCGTGGAATACGAAAAAGAAAAGAAAAAACGAAGAACGTTAGCCAGAAAAGAAGTGATTTTGTCGGCGGGCGCTTTCAACACAGCTAAACTCTTAATGCTGTCAGGTATTGGACCTAAAGAACATCTTGAACCACTAAAAATAAAAACTATAAGCGATTTGCGCGTTGGCGATAATTTACAAGAACATCCTTCGTACGCAAACTTAGCGTTTACTGTTAACCAAACAGTGGGATTAATACCTGAACGTATTTACAAACAATCAATACGCGAGGCATTAAGATTTTACGATGGTGACGGTTGGCTCACGACCATGGGCTGCGAAGGACTTGGATATGTGAAAACAAAATACAACACGGATCCCGGTGATGTACCGGATATTGAATATATTTTTATTCCGATGTCTCTAGCCGGTGAAGAAGGACTGGGAAATAGCATATTGAGAAGAAGCATGGGAATACCGGATAGTGTTCATTATGATTTGCACAAAGGCATATTCAATAAAGACGGATGGTCGATATGGACTATGCTTATGTACCCAGAGAGTAGAGGACAAGTACGTTAATTTTTAAATGTTAAATATTAAGCAAAACCACGTGTTTTGTTCTAAATTTAAGATGTATTGTAAATACATAAAAAATACTATTTTTCAAATTTTTTTTTCGATAACTTTTATGATTACAGGTTCGATTAAGAAATGCTAATCCTTATTCAAAACCCTTAATACGAGCTAACTTTTTCGATAATCCCATTGATGTATTGCGTATCGTAGAAGGAATAAAAATGGTTATAGACCTTAACAAAACACCGGCTTTTCAAAAATTAGGATCTACTTTGAGTATGCGAACAATGCCGGGATGTAGACACTTAAGTTATGGTACAGATAAATACTGGGAATGTTGTGTAAAAAGAATCACTATGCAGATGCATCATCAGAGTGGTACTGCAAAGATGGGACCGTCGTCCGACCGAAACGCAGTGGTCAACCCACAACTCATGGTTTACGGTGTTTCTAAGCTGAGAGTTATCGACTGTTCAATCATGCCGACGATTACTGGAGGTCATACTGTAGCACCAGCCTATATGATCGGAGAGAAAGGAGCTGATTTGGTTAAATCAACTTGGCTACAACCAAACAATTAAAATTATAATACGATAAGTATTATTAATTTATAATTAAATAAAAAGACTTAAATTAATTGTAGGTTACCTATCTGAAATCAATCGTGTAAAGTTACTAGTGTATATTATTATTATTTGCATCGAATTAATTCTTAGGTATTACACGTTTGATAACTAATAGAAAACGCAGTATATATTGTATTTTATTTTACTGTAGTCTGTAATATATTCAGTTATTAAAACTTAAAGTATTAAATTAAAAGTTAATTGTAATACTTTTGAATATTATACCTATATTTTATATTTTATGTAAGTTTATTTTGTTTAACGATTTTTACTACAAATATCAATCAATATATTATAATATATTTAATAGCGATTACCAAACATACTTTGATGTATTTATTTTTATGTAGTTGATTTACCATGAACAAAAAAAAAAAAAAAAAAAAATATTAAAAATGTCACTTTGTTTATAAACATGATGTATTGTACATTTATATTATAATTGTTGAGCATAATAAAAGTTCTTAAAATAAATTTAAATAAACAATCCAAACATCATATTTCTTAAATTTTAACATATGAATCATTACTAAGATTAGACACAATATATTGTTTAATTTGTATAATACAATATTATAATATAAATAGCCAATAGATCTTTAAAAAATATTTGTATATAATAATTATACATATTTAAATTCTAATTAGTTTGAAAAGTGACATTGGCATTATAGTGTTAGAAAGTGCTTAAAAACATTTATTAGACTGCCATATTAGTTAGTACTTGAATACATATTAATTATATATTGTACATTTGGAATAGTATTGACTACAAATGAAAATTAAAATAATAATATTTGTTATAATAAAAAAATTGTTTATTTTCGTAGCAACAGGGTCATTGTGAGGCATTATTTCATTGAGAAAATATATTCATTTTACAACAGTAAAACGTAAACCACTTTTAAAACTAGTACTGAATAATGGATCCCAACAACGGTAATTCCTTAAAAAAAAAAAACTACTTTTTTAGAACAGAAATGAGGGGTTAACTAACGTGTTCTATGATTATTATTACAGATCTATAAAATATATTTTTGCTACACGTGACTTTATATACAAAAAAAAAAAAAAAAACGTTGTGACCGTATAGCACTTATAGACGTTGTTATAATATATTTATAATATATTTCAATATAACTTAACATTTAGTTGGTATTAAATTGTGTGAAACTAGTTTGAAGGTCAAATCCGTTCGTGATCATCGTATGCCAAAAACGAATAAAGATTGTAATGAAATTATTTTTTAAAACATTGGTTACAATTTATTGCTATTGGCCTAGTTCTGCCTTAAATATGTAAATAAATTGAACGAAATCCGTACACAATTATTATGGTTTTACCTACTTTGACTAGAAGGATAATTAGTTACGATAATACACCCTATAATTAATGATTATATAACTTTGCGAATTTATCATTACTTTTTACCGTATCGATAATAATATTTTATTTTTAAATAGATACCTAGCTAGCTACGATATTAGTCCATTACACACAAAATAAAAGCTTTCCATTATGATGATGTTATACTACTTGAAACGTATTTTTAACTTTTTATTTATTCTTATTATAAAATTTTATCTTGATATTAATACGTATGTTAAGATGTACTTCGTTTTAATAAAAAAAAAAATTTTTCTCGTTTTGAAAGATTTCAAAATATTTATGTACAATATTATAGCTCCGTTTTGCTATAAGTTCGTATCAAACTTGTAAATTAATTTTTTAAATCGATATTTTTTTTATTGAAGCTTATTAACAAGCGTATCCATTATTTATTTCTATGTACGAGTTTGCGAAAAAAAATTAATTATTAAAATAAGTACATTAAAGATAAATTAAAATACAAATCATAAAAGTTTCATGCTTTTAATTAAAATTAATGAGGAATTATCAAAAAATAAGTGATTAGCAATTCCAAAATGTGTGCGTTTCTGATAAAGATTAAAAAAAAAAAAAACTAAGACAGATACAAAATGTAATTTGGACTTAAAAATTGTAGCTGGTTGAATAAAAATGAAAAATACGAGAAACTCGTGTTAAAATTTCGCAAAATTATATTCTTATCAACACATACTCATATTTTTTACGAGTGTCAAATAGCAATATTTATGCAAGTCGTTAAAAACGATGTATTTTATTGTGAAAATATTACTGTTAATTCAGCGAACAATATTTAAATTATAAATTACACGTTGTGGAATTAAACCAGTAATATATAATTTTTGGAAATGTTTATCGTTTTCAATTTTAAACATGAGTACCATTTAAATAGTAAGCTTTATTAGTAAGGAAAAACAAAACGTTGAAATCTGTGTAAAACTTGTTGAAATTATAAAATGTTTGTGTATAGTACACATAAATATTACAGCTATACCTATCTACCTATATCATATTCACAAGAAGTATTGTTCTGTGTTTTGCATAATATCATTACTTAGAAATAACAATTTCTTGTTGTGTACAGTGTGTACATTATTTAACAATTATAACGATTGTGTTTTATTTTATGTACAACAATAACATGGAAATATTTTTTTAAAAATCTGTCAGTGAATAATATTTATCTAAATAAACAAATTATTTATTGTTTCTACAAATGTTTTAAAAATATATAACAAAATCAATATGAAAATGTGAGATTGAAAAAAAAAATAAGTTGTTTTATCTAAATGTAACGTTGTATAGTACATTTTAGTTCTGCACTATTAAAAAGCATTTAATGTGTTATTTTTAAACATAATTAATCATTAAATAATTTTACTGACAACTTTAATTGGTGCAAAATATATTTAAACTGTAAAAAAACCTATAACCTAAAACTTAAGGCATTTTAACAATAATGTTGCATTTAACGATTTGTTCAAATAATTATTAACCGTTTAAAATCAAGATGATTCATCATTGTCTATTATACCATAATAATTTCCATTTGCACATGAAAATTAAAAACTAATGTCATAAGGACTATTCTAAATCAGACGTTGGGGAAAATTGTTTTTTAGCGATGAATGATAGGTCCCGGTCAATTGGTTTCGTATCGTCGTAGAGTGCCGGTGCTTCACATAGGATAAGAATTGTACCCATAATGGAGGCAACCGTAAATATCCATAAAAATAATCGATCAAGCACCATAGCCACAAAGCCCCAGTCTTGATCTTCCTGTAAATCGATAATAAATTAATTTTTTAACATTTTAAATAAATCTATACTAAGTGTACCACATTAGAGTTTAACTATACGGTTTGTTCATAGCCATGACTAGGTGATGACTCTGAGCAGTGGCGTATTTATGGGTGGTGGTGGCGAGGGGACCCCGGCCTCTCTCGAAATGAAAAACACAATTATTAAAAATTGTTATTTTTGACATGGAATATGTCTTATGGTTGGGGAATGGGAATAATTCCAAAAATTTGACACGACACCGATATCATGACGTCATGAATGAAACTGTCGCTTATGCGATAATTTAGAATAAAAGTATAGTGTGTTGAATGCGTTAGTATTTTGACGATGATTAATAATTATGTAACACAATTTATTATTTAAGTTATATAAATAAAACAAATATTGGTTGTTAGTTGTTTACGATTTCGGCAGACGGAAACTATTAGTATATGTAATTTTAGCTCATGACTTCTAGAATTAAATTAATAACTGTAGTGGTGAGATAGTAATAATATATGTAGTCAGTGGCATAGGTTAGGTATTAACTATTAATTATATGCATTATATTAGTATTGATTGTATTCTAGTTTAATGTTGAGTGTTTCTAATAAAAAATTGTTTATAAAAATGTAGTCATTACTTTTTTTTATGTTAGAATTCATTAAAAAAATGATTGAGTTTCTTATTACTCTGATGGTCTAAAGAGAGTTGAAAGATCTTGTAGTATTCAAGCAATATTTGTCCAAATAGTGTGTCTCCTCCCTCCTTTCCCTAAAGAAATCCAAATAAATAATCGGCACCCTCCGAAATAAAAACCTACATACGCCACTGACTCTGACTGTCTAAGCTACACCCCTTACCGCCAAAAATAATAAATAATAAAATATATTTCCATGCAACCACCAAGTATATAATAAGTATTAGTTAATGGTTCTTAAAAAATAAGAAATGAAAAATATTTTTTTATTAATCAAGCATAAAATTTACTTGAACCGAGTATACAAGTCTTTTTTTTTCAAAATTGCATATATTCAATATTGAAATAGATATAGTTAATTTGATTAAGAATCATGATGTGTTGGAAATATGTAACCAAAAAGACAGAACATAAATTTAATTGTATCAAAATACAATTTATATTTATTGATTCAATTTTTAAACGATACATACATTATTTAATAATATGTTTTATTATATAATATCTATATATATTATATAATAATATATATAGATATATATACACCAGACGTATTTATCATTTACCATTTGTTTCGTATTATTACAGGGTCTTACTTCATAGGTATAATTATTTTTTATGACCAAACAAAACGATTAATAACAGTTTATTAGCCTACTATACAAAAGTATGCCTAAAAATAGTTTCGTTTTATCGTATACTTTGTGAATTATAACTAGGTAACCTCAGTAAAGTAAAATGTTAGTAAAACATTTTATTTAAACGTACGTTAAACTATTTAATCTAGTATATATATATATGTGTCTTTTCCAATGTTAAGCATTAATCTGCCTCTAATCTGTTCATCTGACCAGAGATAGATAACGCTGTATAGCTACAATAATTATGTATGTTTATATCTATTATAAGCCACTTAGAAACAAGCAAGCTTAAGAGGACACCAGCATAATTTTTATTCTTTCTCGTCCCATGTGCAGCATTGTTATAACGCATTCATGAAAATCGTTTTTTTATCATTTTTAAGTAATCTTAGAGTAAATCACATATTATAAAAACTTTAAAGAATAATATTTTTGATATAATAGTTTCATATTTTATAATAATTTGGCTTTAAATTCGACTTTAAGAATAAAAATGTTAATTTGTAAATTTATATGGACATAGGACTATTTTAAGAAAATATTTAGACAGCAAATATATTTTTAGACATTTTATAGATTCAACAATTTTTTCTTAAACAATTTTTATGAACTACTTAGTTCTAAAACTATTCAAAAATATTAAAAATGTGAATGTGTTTTGTCTATGTTCCTTGTGAGTTAAATAGAGAAGATTAACATATGACATCTCAGAGAAGTATACAAGGGTTTATTTATCAAAATTATTATTTGTTTGTAATTTCTGGAAATTTCCCATTCAAATTATCCAAATTAAAATTACAATTTTTGAAGTTTAACATCGTTAGATATTGTTACTCAGATGGAACGGAGTGGTAATATAGATACTGTAGCATTTTGTACATAATATTAATATTATATATTAATTATATGCTAGATATGCACTATATAATTTTAACCAATGCTAAAAATATACACACTCGATCAACAATTTTTTACTCAGTCAAAGTTATTAATTTTTTATTGATATTACATAACGCGGTTAGGTTTACGATCATCGTCGACACGAGCGTGCTCAATTAATATACAATTATTATTAAAAACTATCATCGATATACCTATATACCTACCGTAAAGTGATGTTTAAAATAAAACCAAGGAGTAATAATTATGTTAAAGATTTGTAAATCAAACGTACATTAATTGTATCGATAAATTATCTCTCGGACTAGCATTCAACGCCCGCCCCCTCTACCTATACAGATACGTTGAGCTCATCTACAAGTGTTACCTAACCCTTCAATGAATAAGATAACTATTATATAGCAATAACGTTATATCCGGACACGAGTACACCTGTGTCCGCGACTCTACGACGCCAATCATTACTAGTATTACCGTGTTGTATTCGTCCTGGCGCTGCAAATGGTGCTGTATAAACTTGACGTTGTGGATTGCCTTCTCCAGCTCGAACGGATACTTCTTCCGGATGGCGGCCGGCACGTCGTTGAGCGCATCGTCGATGGACGACACGGCCACGTTCATCAGCCGGCTGGCCGCCCCGGCCGCTGCCGTCCCGTTGCAGCCTGTCCGCCCAGCGGCCACCACGAACCGGCGCAGCGATTCGGTGGGCGAACGGTGGCCGGCGGGCGGCGAAGCGACTGGCGCCGGAGGCACGTTCAGCGTGGCGCCCACGCTGGCTGCGTTCAACCTGTGCGGTGTGCAAACAAAAATACCGGTGAGATGGCGCCTTGCGGTCTAAGCCGTCCGACCGACCGGACGAGTCGTTTTCGCCGACAAAATAAACAAAAACCCAACAAAATAACGCTTTTATTTCCGGTGAATTGAATAGGTATTTTAAAAAAAAAAAAAAAAAACGATTTAATTTTTTTTTTCTTCTGAAAATCATCAGTTATTTTGTCAAACTTTTTATACGAGGAGCGTTTAAAAGTTCAATGATATTGTATACTTATAAATATATAATATTATAATACAGTTAAATACCGGTGATAACGTTCAATGAGTGAAATGGCCATTTTGACTTGTATATTATGATATTATGAAGAAAGGATGAGTTCTCGAACTTATGGAAATTTCGAACAATCCGGACTTTGATAGATTCGAAAATCTTAAAGTTTGTTTTAATTGATACACAAAATAAATATACCAAATAACTTGAGAAAAATTAAGTTCAATAAAAATTATGTTTTTTTACAGAACACGAATAGCTGTTCCTTAAAATATTATCTAAGTATTTCAAAATTCCAAAAGTTCTAGTATAAAATAGATTTAGCAACGTAATTTTTAATCAAGAATCAAATTTGAATCTATCTAACAACGTAAAATAAAATGCTTACAATATATTTTTATCGTCAACTATTTTAGTAGTTGATTAAATAAATTAAAAATTTCAAAATATGAATTAAGATTTATTTGTACACACGTTTTATTGGTGAACCAATAAATACAGAACATTAATATATTTCAGATGAATATTAAATTCATCAAAAACTAACTTTTTTTTTATTTGTAAAAACTAACGAGTAATAACGTATGAGTGAAAAAATGCAAAAATATATATTTAAGGTGATATTGACGTTAACCATTAATCATATTAATCAATTTTTGTATTTTTTATTAAAAATGTTAAAACATATAGTTTTATGTATTTAATACGAAACGATTATTTTAATCTTTTTTTTTTTATTATAATGAACTGCTTTAAGCTTTTTCATTATATTCTTCATGATAATCTAAATTTAATAATTAAGAAAAAAATTTTAAATTTAGATGAGCAGAGAAATGAACCGTGAATTTTGTGAGGAGTTACTTGTAAACATTTTTTTCGTCTTATTATCTTAACACAAAAATTGATGAAAATAACGATTGGTTGACGTTATAAAACAATTATCTTGTAAAAACTAAATCCTGTCAGGACAGGGTAACGCATACTCATACCTGGCCAAATTAAGATTTAATTTTTTGCACGTCTTCATATGTTTTTGTTTCAGTGCTGAATCTGCCAACAGCTGTTCGGGTACCCTCATGAGTAACATTTTCGGCAGCGCTCTGATGAACACCGTCCGCATCCACGATGGTATCTTGTGCGTACTTGGTTGCCTGAAGTTAAAATGCAATTTGTATAAATACAAAATGCAATTTAATTTTAAGTAAGTGTGTTTGTTATGATACAAGTGTTATATTTTCTATATTAAAAAAAAAAAAATCGTTAAAAAATACTACTTCACTAACTGTAGGTATAATAATTTCTTAGCATCTTTCTACCCATTAATAAATTTTGTAAAGTATTATTATATTATGTTTTTAAACTATTTGAAGAGGATTGTAAAAATAAAATTGTTGCGTTTAAAGTTTAAGTATTGAAAAATATTGGTGGCGATGCTGGATTGTCTGTTAGGAGTAACGTATAAACTCAATATCATTATATGCTTATATTCGTTTACCTGTAATGTATATTTATGATGATTATGGTAACGACCACGCACAAGGCAACCAAAAGCATGGTGAATAAAAGGTATTTTCCGAGCAGCGGTAATGATAACGATGTCGAGGGAATGATTTCGGAGATGAGCAAGAAAAACATGGTTTGAGACAGGAGAATTGTGATGCACAGTGAAATCTTCTCCTTGGAGTCGGCGGGCAGGTAGAACACTAGTACTGACAAGTAAGATATGCCCACGCAGGGCACGATAAGGTTGACGGTATAAAACAAAGTCCTCCGCCTCAGAGTTATGTTGAAGAAAATGTCGATGTAAGGTTCAACGCAACATGAGTAATACTTTTCGTGTCTCTCCGCTGGCACACCGAGAATGTCCCATTCCACACTTGGGTAATACGCGGACAGATCGATGCCCACGTCCACTTTGTTAGTTCCGACCAATTGGCCAATATGCTTGAGGTTTATCTGTAAGTTATAACGAAATCGTCAACAGATCGATCTCAAAAAACAGTAAAACAGTTTACCGCATAGATACTATTTTATTCTAAAAAAACATTTTGCGAAAATTTCTAGACTTCTGTAACTGTAGAAGGGATGGTGGGTACGCGTAGATTATTATTTTTTTTATTCCATTTGTGCCCACCATCGTGATTCAAGCATAACGTAACTTTTTGTAAGATAAAATTCAACGCGTGTTTAACTATTGGAGCCAATCAAACGGTTATAAGGTTAATCGTTATCATCAAATAACCAGTAATAATCTACAACATTGATCTACTCCATCATGTTGGTTTTACTATAAGAAGTGAAAATATTTAAAAAATAATACAAACAGTAGGTACAATTCGGGAAATCGGAAAAATTTTAATTCTATATAAAATAAATAAAAATAGCCCTATCATCCTAATTAATCCTATCTTAATTCCCTATCATACAGGAAATATATTATTTATAATTTTAACGTTTAACCTGAAATAATTTGGTTCAACAAAAACGAAGTTTAATTCACGGCTTGCTAGCAAACCAAGTAGAGATAACAAATCGGAAGGACAGATATTAAAAAAACTATTTTAACTAATTACAATGAAAACTTACTACGATATCAAAAACAGCTGTACCATCTCACATTATTCCAAATAGTACGTTACATCAACGTCAAGGTCATAACATTATATTTTATCATAATGAGAGGGAAAAAATAATCAGCCAAATGGTACAATTTAAAGTTAAGGTCGATTACAAATATAGGTAGTAGATAAACATTGAAATAGTTTATAAAATTACATATACTTATTAGTATGAGAAGTATAAAAATTATACGTTTATTTTGAAACTATAAAAAAAATTTTGATTAACATAATGATGTGAATATTGTAAATATACCACTCAATCTTTTATAATTATGTTTTATAGATGTTTATCATAATATTACTTAAATTCTGTGATCATGATAATTGATAAAAACCGTTAAAAAAATAATTATAAAATGCTATGACTTTGTTGTTGGGGTATAAACAGCCATTAATTAATAAAATATTATTTTAACTTTATTTTATTTTTATGTATTTTAGACTTAGACTTGACTCAATATCATATAATTTTACGCTGCTATACTATTAAATACTGCTATACACTAATAAATAAATATTGACAAATTTTAAACGGTCCAAATAAATAATTCAACTAATAAAAACCTTTGATCAGATATTTAATAAAATATGAAATTTAGATAGAGCCTTATACATTTTTCAACCTTGTTAAAAATTTAATAGCGGTGGTCTTCATTAATTAAGGTAACCCATTTTGATGAAAATGCTATAAATTAAAAACAACTTTCTTAAAGCGAGGTAACGATTTTATAAGGTCACGTATAGAAGCTAAATTTTATAAGTATTTAAGTCGAGTATTGGATCCCAACCTATATTTTAAACAAAATCTTTAAAATAATTCGTTTATAAACACATTTAGTGATTATTCATAATAGTTATTTATATAATCATAATAATATAGTATTAGAAATTGAATAATCGTACTAAAAAAAAAAAAAAAATAATGCATTACAAAACTTAGAATATAAAGCTTATAAATAATAAATGATAAAAAATGTTTGAAAAATTATTATAATATATTAAATACTTATATCTAATCATACTTAATTGAAAAATAAAACACTTCTTTCAAAACTTTTAAAATTTCATGAAGAGGTTAAAGTCAACATAGATGTATAAAAATACAACTATGGAATTCAGACCTAACTCTTTGAACGTACATAAAAACCAAACTAAATATCTCAGTTAATTTTCCAAAATACCCTTTTACGTCTAAAATTACATTCTGAAATAGTACTTGTCAATCACAATTTATGACTGTACAAAATTTAACTAAACTCTTTACAAATGACTACCCTAACTCCAATCATCACAATCTTATTTTTAAACTATCTGCTTCGACCATTCCAGATGACCCAGATAGACGACTAAATCGAAAATGCTTCCGTAACTTTTTAATTAACTGAATATACACATATGCCACTACGGAGTTCTATTAATAATACATTTTTCTAACTTGTTCAACACATAATTTTGTATTTAATGTAAATACTTTAATTTAAAAATTGTAAAATATAATATTTTCAATAAATAATAAAAAAAAATTATAAGAACCTATAAATATTTGCTAAAATATATATTATTTCTCACACTTTTTTTGATAACACAATTTATTATACTACTTTGTTTTCTCAATAATAATTTTCAATTGATTCTTTTCAAAACCAAAACCTATCCAAACTCGAATATTGTTATGTTAATAAGTTTCGTAAATCTTAAGTCAGGAAATGCATTTTAAGTTGAGAGAACTGCAGTATTCACTTATTTTATTACGTAACACAATATTATTATTTAAATAAATAGTTACCAGTTAATATGAACGTTTCTAAACAAGATTCCTTGATGTTTAAATAATGATAAATAAATATCCTTACGAATACTGAATTATATGCAGTTATAAAGTAGGTAATTAATTTATCGAAAATCGACACAAATCTAGGAAATCTTAGTTGTTAACTTTACTATGTAAAAATAAGAAATTAGATTAAATTGCATAAAAACAGTTATTAAGTTTGCAAGTTTGCAGAGTTATGGAAATCTATAAGCCTTATGTATTTAAATATATATTTAAGAAAATTTATCATAATATAATATTAATATATACTATATTTCATTTTTTTTTTAGATTTTTATTGCACTTGTAGCAAAATTTAGTTTCGTATTTACCTGGTTTCCATCATATGACCATGAACCAAATTTCATAAAACATGTTTGTTGATCAAATGGGAAATAGCGAACATCAATTTCACATGATGATTTGAAAATGGCTGGTGGTGTCCACATTACTTTACCTGAGTAATGGAGCACAGCCTTTGTCATAGTAGTGACTACGTATTCGCCGTCAGCACTAACATATTAATGCAAAATAATAATATTACGATTTAAATAAAATTTAACTAAGACTAAATATTATATTTGACTAACAGGTGACCTACTTATTGTAAAGGACGATATCCGGTAACCAGATATGCTCAGATGGTACGTAAAGCTCTTTGACACCTCCATATTCTAGTGGTTCCCATATAAATTTGTGGTCTGCCCATTCCTAAATTCAGTCAATTAAAAACGTTTTCTACGTGAAATATTAAAAAATACTTACGTGTTCCAGCCATACGTTCGTCGTTAAAATTTGATCCTTCAGATTCTAGAACAAAGAAAACGTCGATTAGTATGATATTCTTGAGTTTTCACAACTGTTTTTGTTCAAATAATTTTATAACTGTCTATTATAGATTGTTCATAATAAGTCATAATACTTCGTAGTAAAATTGAAAAAAAATATTTTACATATTGTTTTATTATGTTTACTATATATATTAACTTAAAATACTACAAACCGTAATTTATCATAAACATTTAAATGTTTTAATTCAAACTTTAAATGAAAAACTATATAACAGAACATAATATAGTCTCTGATTGTACCGATCATCTAAACAACGTAAACATGTTTTGCTTTGATGATCACAATAAATTATTTATAATATTATGCTTGCGTACGCATTAAATGTTTATCCATAAAAAAATGCTATTCATATTGTGATTTTAATTATTTATTTAATGCATTTACGTGTGATCACGAGAATTTAATCACAACACAAATAACTGTTTGCAACGTCACCCGTGAGAGTCTAAATAAGTATTATAGAAATTTACTTCATTTTTAAACTTAAGTAATATTTATTTATTATTACTAACTTTAAGCGATTATCCAATAATATCATACTATTGATAATGACTGCCTTAATAATTTTGTTATTACTTATTATACAGGGCCAGATCTATCATATTTTTTTCTGTTACACTTATTTACCAGTTACTCTACAAAAAAAAAAAAAAAAAGTTTAGATATTTAATTAAGAAAAATGTGTACTAAATACAAACCTTAAAATAAATTTTTTTTTAATATAGATATCCAAAATAATTTTACGAAATTCTATACAAAATGTAGGTACGGCAAAACTTTGTTCGTAAGATGCTGATGTCACCGGTAAGTTAAAAATATTTGATATACTATTAAAATATTAAGATAGGCACCTCATACATTACTTTTATAAATATAATTATTTAGGATTTCAAAATTATTTTTACATCTTATGATTCGTCTAACGCAAAACTATGTTGTTTAAAACTTTGAATTTCGTAAATAAATTCAATTTATTCTATTTAAGTATTTTTTATAATTATTACATAATTCAATTGAATATCTTTTTATATTTTTTATATCACTTTACTAAAATACCTTTCATTGGCATAAAACGATCTCTTAATGACAATAAAATATTATCTATAAATTATAACCAATTCAATTAAAATATTGAATTTTTGTTTTTCATTTATAGTTGTTGTTTCATATTCAGCAAGCTCATCAGCCATTCCATTATATAACAAATACAACTTTTTAATATATCTGCTTATTATATAGTAAATTTACGCGTTCCAGCCAAGACTTCTGGGACAAGTGCCTCGGCTCACACCCTCCCTAAGATCCGGCCCTGATTACACATGTGATCAATGAATTGACAGTATCCAGTTTTTAAATTTAATTTTTTTAATACTCATAGGTATAATAAAAGATTTATATACTACTAAACTAAATAATCATCAATTGGACCACGTTTCGCCTTTTTATTGGCTGAAAAATTGATACAAATATGTAAATACAGTGTATATATTCAGCATTTGGGTATAAGCCATCTAAATAGTTTGTGCAATTTTTATACCCATATACACTATTCTAGCCTTTAACATGGCGGATAAGATTCAGTATTATTTTGTGTTTGTTTTATTCAGAGTTACTAATCCAAGTATGTTTTATACATCTGTTAGGATATATCATGCATCATAAGAACGCTTTGTCTATTAAATTCCTAATATCCTTGTTGATTTATCGTGATTATATTTCCCACTTAGTAGTTCATAAGCAAACCGACAACAACGATTAAAGTTAGTTCGTTTAGTAAAATAAAATTGCGTACAACTTTTAAGTATATCTACGTAGTTAAAAGGATCCTACTATAATATTATGACTTATGACGTGTGTCGCGGAATGAAGAGGCTCACACGATTACATGAGGTACCCGACAAAATGTTGGTCCACTAATGCACTTGTCTAAACCTTTAATATTTATAATTACAAAACAACTACTCATTAAAAGTACTATTTTATGTTAAAACATTATTAGAAAAATGTTTTACTCTTGAGTAAAAAATAAAAAAATGCGAGGTATCATTTAAAGACTGTTAATTGACTTAAATTAATAACGTACAAACAAATATAATACAAAGTTGTGTAATTATATTTCGTTTATTTTAAAAAGAATCACTCTGTATACTTGAATCGTCGTTGTCGTGGTCATAGTGTATACTTATTGAATAAATTAGTGTGGTTGATTTTTACGCTGAAACGTTTTGTTGATAGTGTCCAGTTACAAGTCGGAACGACGATGGTGGCAACCGAAGCCTTACGATCAGAAACACACATGCGTTCATTATGCTTCGCTAACAAAAGTGCACGCGCGGTGAGTTCAATTTGGGCGTAGACAGTACGCACGTACATGAGTGATTTTTGTTAAACATCTTACGAAATGTATTTATTCGATCAAATTCCGTTGTACGTATAGTTTTAATATCAATCCTACGCAATTTTAATTTTAATATAAACACCTAGCTACTAATAATATTGTCGCACGCCCGATCGATAACTAAACAGATAATTTAGGTTTTATACTTTTATGCGAATATTTTATTTGGTTTCATTTTCTTAATCACAATAATAGTAATCTGAAAACAAGTGATTTTTTTGTAAAAAAATGCACAGTCAGCAATCATCAGTTATTGATTTAATACTTGTATTAGCCTTTCTAATTTGACGAAGTTCAGTTAAACCACACGTGGATGATATAGAGAAAGTCTCATGACGATTTACAGGCTTTAAGTATTTAGCAGTTATCAAAATCGTATGAGATGTGTCGTCATCGTAAATAAAAAGTCAAAACGCCGAGTGTTTCGAGTAGCATACCTTCGACAATAATGCGGTTATCGTTGCAACCGGTCATCGCAAGTATTAAGCGTAAGTACCCATAAGTCTTGACGATAGCTGATTGGGATTAGGCCTAAGGGATTAAACGTAACCCACAACAACCCACAATATTATACTTCTTCTACTACTTTTACTACTACTACTACTACTACTACTACTACTACTACTACTACTACTACTACTACTACTACTACTACTACTACTACTACTACTACTA